CACTCCCAGGTTCACACAAGTGCTGAACCTGAACTTGTATGAACTTGGGAGTGAGTGCCTCCTTAAATCTGTACCCCAGGCATTTCCTAGCTTCACCCTGGTCCCAGACCTGTTTCTTTTCCCAGTTCAAGGAACCAGAACTAGGAACAGGAAGCAAACTGGCCACCGAGTGGGAGAAGTGGACTGAGATCACTTCTCATTTTGAACTTAATCATCCTATTTTCAACCTGACAGAAAGCTTAAGAACCAGTTTGTGGCCGGGCTCGGTGGCTCAGCCTGTAATCCCGTGTCTTGGGAGGCTGAGGTGAGTGGATTGCCTGAGCCAGCGGGTTCGAGACCCACCTGGGCAACTTGGTGAGACCTCATCTCCACAATAAAACAAAAAATTAGCCGTGCGTGAGGCGGAAGGATCACTGGAGCCGAGGAGGTCGAGGCTGCGGTGGCCGGGAATGGCCACTGCACTCCAGTCTGGGCAACAGAGTGAGACTCCAACTCAAAAAAAAAAAAGAACCAGTTTGTAAAGAAGAAAAGCTGTGGCCTGGAGAATCCTCTATTTTTTCTCGTAACAACATTTACCATACTGAACTGTAACTGCTGGTTACTTAACTGCCTCCCCTTGTAAACTGACCATGAGCTTTGGGAGAGCGTGAAGCCCCTACGTTGTGTCATCTTTTACCTCACTGTAGTAACCCCAGGGCCTGGCACAAAGCCATGAAAGAATTTATTTACACTTGCTGTCTCAAATTCCTCTCCAAATACTTTTTTTTTTTTGAGTAAAAGTCTTACTGTTGCCCAGGCTGGAGTGTAGTGGTACACTCACGACCACCACAGCCTCGACCTGTTGGGCTCAGGCAATCCTTCCACCTCAGTCTTCTAAGTAGCTGAAAGCACAGGTGCACACCACCACACCCGACGAATTTTTAAATTTATTGTAGAGACGTGGTCTCATCAAGTTGCCCAGCTGGTCCCCTGGATTCAGGCAATCCTCTTGCCTCTGCCTTCCAAAGTGCTGGATTACAGACATGAGCCACCATGACCGGCCAAATACTTTTCTTTAACCCATTCCAATAAAGCTCACTCTCACCAGTCCCCCAAATTGCTTCTGTCAAGATCACGAATAATCTTCATATTGCTAAACCCAGTAGTTAATTCTTCGCCCTTATCTTCCTTGACCTATCAACAAGATTTAATAGAGCAGATCACTCCTTTCCTTTTGAAACAATGTCTTCATTTGGCTTCCAGGACAATGCACTCTCCTGTCCTCCCTCCACCTTGCTGGTTGTGTTACTGTCTTTGCTGGTTCCTCCTCCTTGCCTCCATTTCCAAATGTCTCCAAAGAGTGCCTCAGGGCTCAGTTCTCTGTGGACACTCATTCCCTAGGTAATCTAGCCCAGTCGCAAAGTTTTAAATACTAGCCATATGCTGTAGGCTCCCAATTTAAAATCTCCATCCTGTATCTGTCCTAGAATCCACACTCCAAATGCTTCTACATCTCCTGAATGTCTTACAAGGGTCTCAAATTTATATAAGTCCAAAAGCAATCTTTTGATCTTCCTCCCACCCAATGTTTGCTTGTTCTATAGGCTTTCCCACCATGGTAAAATGACTATATCCTCCTTGCAGTCGTCCAGGCACAAGCCTGTGGAGTCATCTTTGGCTTTCTCTCTCAGCCCACATCTGATTTGTTAGCAAATTCTATAGGTTCTATCTTTAAAATACAAGGGGCAACCCAAAAAACCTAGGATTTATTTATAAAAAACTGTGCATTTATTTTTACACGTTTAAACTTCAGACACCTTCAAAGTACTCTCCATTTGATCCAATACACCTATTGAGATGCTTCTTCCACTGCTCAAAACAGTTTTTGAACTCACCCATTTGTATGCCTTTTGGTACTTCTGCTGTTTTTTGTTTCACCTCTTCCACATGGGCAAAATGTTTCCCTTTGAGGATCTTTTCTTTCTTTCTTTCTTTCTTTTTTTTGAGTAGGAGTCTCACTTTGTCACCCAGGTTGGAGGTTTGTGGCACACTCCCAGCCACCACAGCCTCGACCTGCTGGGCTCAGGTGATCCCTCCACCTCAGTCTTCCAAGCAGCTGGAACTACAGGCACACGCCATCACGCCTGGCTAATTTTTTGATTTATTGTAGAGATGAGGTCTCACCAAGTTGCCCAGGCTGGTCTCAGGCAGCTTCTCACAACAAAGCTAGCTGGTACACTGATGCCAATGGGTTCCTACAACACTCACCTAGCAAGGGAAGCCTGTACTAAAGGGGCCCACCCTCCAAAAGATAATTCTGAGTTTTCTGGGGGGACCCCCTTCTAGATCCAAACTTTGACAACTTCTCAACACCTCTACTATTGCTATACAGTTCCAAGTCACCATCATCTCTTGTTTAAGTTATTGCAGTAGGCCAGGCACAGCGGCTCACGTCTTAAAAAAAAAAAAAAAGAAGCCGGGCTTGGTGGCTCAGCCTGTAATCCCGTGCCTTTGGGAGGCTGAGGTGAGTGGAATGCCTGAGCCCGCGGGTTCGAGACCCGCCTAGGCAACTTGGCGAGACCTCATCTCTACAAAAAAAAAAAAAAAAAAAAAATTAGCCAGGCATGGTAGGGCACACCTGTAGTTCCAGTTACTTGGAAGGCTGAGGCAGAAGGATCGCCGGAGCCCAGCAGGTCGAGGCTGCGGTGGCCAGGAGTGGCCACTGCACTCCAGTCTGGGTGACAGAGTGAGACTCCAACTCAAAAAAAAAGAAAATGTGAGTCAGAGCATGTTAATCATCTATTCAAAAAGTGTCCCATCTTCGTCTAGCCAAAGTCCCTACATTAGTCCTAGTAAGGTTCAACAATCTGTACCCTCCCTTCCCCCCTCTAACCTAAACTCCTAATTTCACTCATTTCCATGAATGCTCACTCATTTCCACCCACACTGATTTGATGATGTTCCTTAAACGCATCAGACATACTTCTGTCTTGTGGCCTGTAGAAGCACTGTTCCTTCTACCAGATAGTCATATGGCAACTTTCCTCACCCACTTCAGGTTTTTGCTAAGATGTTACTTTCTCAAGAGCTTCTTTCCCAACTTTGCTCTAAAAAGCCCCCAACTTCAGTGTCTCTTTTCTTGCTTAATTTTTCTCCATTGCTCTGATTACCATTCGACATATTATGTCTTACTTATTTAGAGCTCTCTCTCCCGCTGGAATAAGTGCTAAAAGAGCAAAGAATTTAGTTTTTTTAGTTCACCACTGTTATGTGACACATACGGGGTGCCAAATAGACACATTTTAAGTATGATGTTCACAAATATGTATACTTTTTTGGGCACCCTGTACAGTTACATGTACACTGGTTGAGCATTCCTAATTCAAATATCCAAAATGCTCCGAAATCGGAAACTTGTTAGACACCAGCATGACGCCACAAGTAGAAAATTCCTCTCCTGACTTCATTAGATAGATTGCATAAAATTATAAAAAATGTTTTGGTTTTTTGTGATCTCTTTTTTTTTTTGAGGTGGAATTTCACTCTGTCGCTCAGGTTGGAGTACAGTGACACACTCATGGCCACTTCAGCAGAGACCTGTTGGGCTCTGGTGATCTTTCCACCTTAGTCTTCTAAGTAGCTTAAACTATAGGCAAGTGCTACCATGCCCAGCTAATTTTTGATTTATTGTAGAGACGAGGTCTCGCCTAGTTGCCCAGGCTGGTCTTGAACCCACAGGCTCAGGTATTCCACTCACCTCAGCCACCCTAAGTGCTGGGATTACAGGCTGAGCCACCGAGCCTGGCTATAAAAAATGTTGTATAAAATTACATTTAAGGCAAGCATGGTGGCTCAAGCCTGTAATTCCAGCACTTTGGGAGACTGAGGCGAAAGGATTGCCTGAGCCCAAGGGTTCAAGACCAGCCTGGACAACTTGGTGAGACCTCATCTCTACAATAAATCAAAAAATTAGCTGGGTGTGGTGGCACGTGCCTGTAGTTCCAGCTACTTGGAAGGCTGAGGCAGAAGGATCACCTGAGATCAGTAAGTCAAGGCTGCAGTGGCCAGAGCGGGACACTGCCCTCCAGCCTGGGCGACAGAGTGAGACACTGACTAAAAAATAATTAATCAATCTAATTAATTAATTAATTAGAATTACATTCAGGCTATGTGTATAAGATGTATGTATATGGAACACAAATGAATTTTGTGTTTAGACTTGGGTCCCATCGCCAAGATATTTCATGTAGATGCAAATATACTGAAATGCAAAAAAATCTGAAACACTTCTGGTCTCAAGCATTTCGGATAAGTGATAACCCATAAATGAACTGCAAGTGCCTAACAAATCCTGTTCGGTGTGTGAAGGGATAAATGGATAGATACAACGGTCAGGCTGGGCATTGTGGCTCACGCCTATAATCCCAGCACTTTGGGAGGCCGAGGTGAGAGGAATGCCTGGGCTTACTGGGTCAAGACCAGCCTTGGCAACTTGGAGAGACCTCGTCTCCACAATAAACCAAAATATTAGGCGAGCGTGGTGGCGCACGCCTGCAGTTCCACCTACCTGGAAGGCTGAGGCTGAATGATCACCTGAGCTCAGCAGGTCGAGGCTGCGGTGGCCATGAGCGTGCCACTGCACTCCAGCCTGGGCGACAAAGTGAGACCCCAACTCAAAAATAAAAAAATAGATACGAATGTCATGTAGCCACATGCCTGACCAAGAGCCAGATCCTGTCCCCTGTCCCCACTACTGCGAGGATTAAACAAGGACAGCACGTAAAACCCCAACGCAGTGCACAGCTCTCTCCGGGAGCTCACCAAAAGACGGCTCCTTCCCTTGCTCCTTTCCCAGTGCAGAGTAGTTCCCAATCCCCGGCCCTCAAATCCTAAGGCGTCGATCCAGCCGGGTGCCGTGGGACCACTGTCCTCGCCCTCCACACCCGCATCTGCAGACGCGAACCCAGGCTGGCAGGAGAGACAGTCGCCAGACCCTTTTGGTCCTCGTCTCACTCACTCACCCATCCCATGCCAGATCACCAGCGGCAGCGGAGTCGGCGGGTCGTGCTGCCTCGGTGCCCCAGCAGCGCCGGTGCAGGGCAGGAGAGCGACCGCCAAGAGCCACAGGGAGGCGGGCGACGCCATCTTGGCTGTGTCACATGACCGCGGGTAGCGACGCCGGGAACCGCGCTCCGCACGCCTGGGCGTGGCGCCGGCGGGGACCGACCGCAACCTCCGCTCGCGCTCCGATGCCCCGCGGGGTGGGCGTGGCCCCCCGGCTGCCTGCGAGGCCACGCCCCCGAGTGAGGTTCCGCGCACTGGCAGATCGCCCGCCACGGTGGATCAAAACAACTGCCAACATGGATTCTCCGTTTACTGGGTGATATCAGGCGCTCTGATACGTGCCCTTTAAACCGATTTGATCTTCAAAACACTTCGTCACATTTCTCCGCATCCTCCAGGTGCGGACACTGAAGCACTGAGAATTGGGATAAGGTGCCAAGGTCACAGAGATAGCCGTTGTTGGGTTCAGACATTGTTCTTCGTCACTGCCCTGTACAGCCTTCTGTGGAAGGAAGAAAGGAAGGTTTCACCTCGCTATTAGAAATGATTGAAGTGCTCGCTTTGGCAGCACGTATACTAAAATTAGAACGATAACGAGATTAGCACGACCCCTGTGCAAGGATGACACCTATATTTAAAAATGAATGAATGAATGAATGAATGAGTGAGTGATTGGGGCCGGGCGCGGTGGCTCACGCCTGTATTCCCAGCACTTTGGGAGGCCGAGGTGAGAGGATTGCCTGAGCCCACGGGTTCGAGACCACCCTGGGCAACTTGGCGACACTTCATCTCTACAATAAATAAATAAATAAGCCGAGGTGGTGGCGCGCACCCATAGTTCCTGCTACTTGGAAGGCTGAGGCAGAAGTATGGCCTGAGCCCAGCAGGTCGAGGCTGCGTGGCAGTGAACGTGCTGTTGCACTCTAACCTGGGTGACAGAGTGAGACTTTGACTAAAAAGAAAAAAGAAATGATTGAACCTGCCATAGTACCAGCTACTGGGAAGACCAAGGCAGAAGGAGAGCTTGAGACCAGAAGATTGAGACCAGCTAGTTTAGGCAGCACAGCGAGACCTTGAGCCCCTTATCTACAAAAAATTTAAACTTATTTGCCAGGTGTGCTCCTTTATTCCCAGCTACTGGGGAGACTGAGGTGGGAGGATCCCTTGAACTCAGGAGTTCAAAGCTGCAGTGAGCTATGATTGCGCCGCTGTATTCTAGCCAGGGCGACAGAGTGAGACCCTGTCTCAAAAAAGAAAAAGAAAGAAGGAAGGAAGGAAAGAAAAAGAAAAGAAAGAGAAATGGAAAAGGAAAGCCGGGCGTGGTGACTCCTGCCTGTAATCTCAACACTTTGGGAGGCGGAGACGAGAGGGTTGCCTGAGCCCAGAGGTTCGAGACCAGCCTGGGCAACTTGGCAAGATCTCATCTCTACAGTAAATCAAAAAGTTAGTCAGACATGGTGGTGCATGCCTGTAGTTCTAGCTATTTGGAGGACTGAGGAGAAAGGATCACTTGAGCCCAGCAGGTGGAGGGTGCAGTGCCCATGAGTGTGCCACTGCACTCCAGCCTGGGCGACAGAGTGAGACTCCAACTTAAAAAGCATAATTATAAAGCATTACACAACACAGCATACAGTTTTGTTTTAAGAAAATAAGCTTATTGTATATTAGCAATTTCTTTTAACTTAAGACCTATAAATATAAATTATTTCACCAATCTTCTGAAGTAGCTTCAAGCTTCTGTGATTATGGCTTCTCTGGTTGAAGTTTCTTGCCTTTAATGAATCATCTATGATTTCTTTAAAGGTTTCTTTAAAGTAGAGCAATAACTGAAACAGATTTATGACACAATTTGAATGTAAAATTCTAGATAATTATAGTGTTTTCACTCACAGATTTCTCACCTAGACTTATTCTAACAATTTGTTAGCAACTTGCCTTTTGCAAGCCTTTCCAAAGCATTCTGCATCGTTTTCACAGAAACATTTCTTTTATCTTTATACTCATTTCATGTTTTCAAAAATTGAATTAAATGACAAAAGAAAATATTGCCAGGCACAGTGACTTATGCCTATAATCTCAGTATTTGGAGAGGCAGAAGCGAGAGGATTGTCTGAGCCTACTGGTTCGAGGCCAGCCTGGGCAACTTGGCGAGACCTCATCTCTACAATAAATCAAACATCAGCCAGGTGTGGTAGTGCACGCCTGTAGTTCCAGTTACTTGGAAGGCTGAGGCAGAAGGATCACCTGAGCTCAGCAGGTTGAGGCTGCTGTGACCATGAACATGCCACTGCACCAAAGCCAACCTGGGCAAGAGTGTGACTTTTGTTAGGGTTAAAGTCTGGAGGCGGCACAGCACCACCTAAGCCAGTGTGCTGGAGGTGCGCGCTGGTAACCAGAGATCTGAGTAACACAAAGATTTGCAACACACCAAGAGATGAAGAAAGAAAAGATTTATTTAAGAAAAGATCACTTCCACTGACAGGAAGATGAGTGTGACATTGAAGGCTGGGGAACTGGATATATTTAAAGCTCTTGGAGAGAAGTTTGGATCAGGGAGCTTGTTTAAAGTTGCACTTTTTGATGTAGATAACAGAAATCACAAGTTTTGTGTCTTGGCATCACCAGGACCTGGTATCTCATGACTCCAGGTGGTGGACTGGAAGCCAGTCACAGTAAATTTATTAACAATACATCAGTGCCAGAAGCACAGATGCCTCCAGTTGGATATGATTTGTAGACCTTGAGGAAGAGAGGGAGTCTGCTTTATCATTACTACAGGCAGATACTGGTCGTGTTTGAAGGAATCTGGGTTTCTGAAAAGACAAAGTCAGCAAAGTTAATCTTTATCTAAAGTATGCGTTCCTCCTGGACACAGCTTTTACTTTCTCATTATTGTGTTAAGATTTAGGAACAAAACAAAGTGGCTCCTTGCTCTCAGTCTGTCCTTTCAACTCCAACTCAAAAAAGAAAGAAGAGAAAATATCACTGGAGCTAAGCATGGTGGCTCACACCTGTAATCCCAACACTCTGGGAGATGGAGGCGAGAGGATTGCCTAAGCTCAGGAGTTCGAGACCAGCCTGAGCAACATGGCGAGACCTTCTTGTCTCTACAAAAAAATTAAAAAATTAGCCAGGTGTGGTGGCACATGCCTGTGGTTCCAGCTACTAAGAAGGCTGAGGTGGAAAAAGGGTCATCTTAGTCCAGCAGTCGAGGTTACGGTGGCTGTGAGTGTCCCACTGCATTCCAGCCTGGGTGGCAAAGGGGACTCCCACTCCAAAAAAATAAAAAAAAAAATCACATTGGGCGTGGTGGCTCAAGCCTATAATCCCAGCACTTTAGGAGGCTGAGGCAAGATGGCTGCCTGAGCTCACAGGTTGGAGACCAGCCTGGCCAACTTGGAGAGACCTCATCTCTACAATAAATCAAAAAATTACCCGGACGTGGTAGTGTGCGTCTGTAGTTCCAGCTACTTGGAAGGCTGAGGCGGAAGGATCACCTGAGCCCAGCAGGTCAAGGCTGTGGTGGCCGGGAGCGTGCCACTGCACTCTAGCCTGGGCAACAGAGTGAGACTCCAACTAAAAAAAAAAAAAAAATTACTCATATAAATGAATAGAATAAGCCCCACTGGCATTTGATAGGCAGGTACCTAAAGGAGAACTACCCAGGAGTAAATCTAGCTATGATTAGCATCCTTTGGGCATCAGTAAGCAGATAAGTACGTTTTAGAATAGGGAGAGTAAGTTAAATAGGGACTACAAAAGTAACATATAGATGGTTGCACAATTCTATAAATTTAATAAAAATCAGCTGGGCTTGGTGGCTCAGCCTGTAATCCCACGCCTTGGGAGGCTGAGGTGAGTGGATTGCCTGAGTCCGCGGGTTCGAGACCCGCCTGGGCAAATTGGCGAGACCTCATCTCTACAATAAATCAAAAATCACCTGGGCGTGGTAGCGCGCGCCTGTAATTCCGGCTACTCGGAAGGCTGAGGCGGAAGGATCGCCGGAGCCCAGCAGGTCAAGGCTGCGGTGGCCGGGAGCAGCCACTGCACTCCAGTCTGGGCAACAGAGTGAGACTCCAACTCAAAAAAACAACAACAACAAATTTACTAAAAATCATTGAATTGTACACCAAAAAAGTGAATTTTATGGCATGTAAAATATACTTCAGAGCCGGGCTCGGTGGCTCAGACTGTAATCCCGCGCCTTGGGAGGCTGAGGTGAGTGGATTGCCTGAGCCCACGGGTTTGAGACCCGCCTGGGCAACTTGGCGAGACCTCATCTCAGTAAATCACAAATTAGCCGGGCGTGGTAGCACGCGCCTGTAGTTCCAGCTACTTGGAAGGCTGAGGCGGAAGGATCGCCGGAGCCCAGCAAGTCGAGGCTGCGGTGGCCGGGAGCGGCCACTGCACTCCAGTCTGGGCGACAGAGTGAGACTCCAACTCAAAAAAAAAAAAAAAAAAAAATTTATATATATATATATATATATATACTTGTATGTATGTGTATATATATACTTCAATAAAGCTGTTCTTTTAAAATAAAGACATTGGTGTATTTATTTATTTTTAGTGATTATCGCTGAAAGGTCAGAGCATTGTCAAGAAAAAAAAGAAAGAAAAATAAATATATAAAGATCTGGGAAGCTGGACATGGTGGCTCACCCTAAAATCCCAACACTTAGGTGGTCATGGAGGCAGGATCACTTGAGCCCAGAAGTTCAAGACCGGTGTGGGCAACATGATGAGATCTTGTCTCTATAAAAATTCAAAAAATTAGCTGGATGTGGTGGCTGGCACCTGTAGCCTCAGCTACTCAGGAGGCTAAGGAGGAAGTTTCTCCTGAGCCTAGGAAATAGAGGCTCTGGTGAGCCACGGTCATACCACTGCATTCCAGTCTGGGTGACAGAGTGAGAGATCTCACCTCAAAATAAATTAAATTAAATAAATAAAAATATAAAAATAAGTTTCTTCTAAAATTAAATACTAATTTTATAACATGAAAGATCAAAGCAGACTGGGCACAGTGGCTCACGCCTATAATCCCAGCACTTTGGGAGACCAAGATGAGAGGATTGCCTGAGCCCATGGTTTCAAGATCAACCTAGGCAACTTGTCAAGACCTCATCTCTACAACAAATCAAGAAAAATTAGCCAGGCGTAGTGGTACGTGCCTGTAGTTCCAGTTACCTGGAGGGCTAAGGCGGAAGGA